GTCCACGTCTACGTCCACGTCCATTTATACGTCCACGTCCACGTCCATGTCCACGTCCACGTCCACGTCCACGTCCACGTCCACGTCCACGTCCATGTCCACGTCCACGTCCACGTCCACGTCCACGTCCACGTCCACGTCCTCGTCCACGTCCACGTCCACGTCCACGTCCACGTCCATGTCCACGTCCACGTCCACGTCCATGTCCACATCCACGTCCACGTCCATTTCTACGTCCACGTCCACGTCCACGTCCACGTCCAGGTCCACGTCCACGTCCACGTCACGTCCACGTCCACGTCTACGTCCACGTCCAGGTCCACGTCCACGTCCATGTCCACGTCCACGTCCATGTCCACGTCCATGTCCACGTCCATGTCCACGTCCATGTCCACGTCCACGTCCACGTCCACGTCTACGTCCACGTCCACGTCCATGTCCACGTCCACGTCCATGTCCATGTCCATGTCCATGTCCACGTCCATGTCCACGTCCATGTCCACGTCCACGTCCACGTCCACGTCCATGTCCACGTCCACGTCCACGTCCACGTCCATGTCCACGTCCACGTCCATGTCCACGTCCACGTCCATGTCCACGTCCACGTCCACGTCCACGTCCACGTCCATGTCCTCGTCCACGTCCACGTCCACGTCCGCGTCTACGTCCACGTCCACGTCCACGTCTACGTCCACGTCCACGTCCACGTCCACGTCCATGTCCACGTCCACGTCCATGTCCACGTCCATGTCCACGTCCATGTCCACGTCCATGTCCACGTCCACGTCCACGTCCACGTCTACGTCCACGTCCACGTCCATGTCCACGTCCACGTCCACGTCCATGTCCATGTCCACGTCCATGTCCATGTCCACGTCCATGTCCACGTCCATGTCCACGTCCACGTCCACGTCCACGTCCATGTCCACGTCCACGTCCACGTCCACGTCCACGTCCACGTCCACGTCCATGTCCACGTCCACGTCCACGTCCACGTCCACGTCCACGTCCACGTCCACGTCCTCGTCCACGTCCACGTCCACGTCCACGTCCACGTCCACGTCCATGTCCACGTCCACGTCCACGTCCATGTCCATGTCCACGACCACGTCCATTTCTACGTCCACGTCCACGTCCACGTCCACGTCCAGGTCCACGTCCACGTCCACGTCACGTCCACGTCCACGTCCATGTCCACGTCCACGTCCACGTCCACGTCCATGTCCACGTCCACGTCCACGTCCATGTCCGTCCTCGTCCATGTCCACGTCCATGTCCACGTCAACGTCCACGTCCACGTCCACGTCTACGTCCATGTCCATGTCCACGTCCACGTCCACGTCCATGTCCACGTCCACGTCCACGTCCATTTCTACGTCCACGTCCACGTCCACGTCCACGGCCACGTCCACGTCCACGTCCACGTCCACGTCCACGTCCTCGTCCACGTCCACGTCCATGTCCACGTCCACGTCCACGTCCATGTCCACGTCCACGTCCACGTCCATGTCCACGTCCACGTCCACGTCCATTTCTACGTCCACGTCCACGTCCACGTCCACGTCCATGTCCACGTCCACGTCCACGTCCACGTCCATGTCCACGTCCACGTCCACGTCCACGTCTACGTCCACGTCCACGTCCATGTCCACGTCCACGTCCACGTCCATGTCCATGTCCACGTCCATGTCCATGTCCACGTCCATGTCCACGTCCATGTCCACGTCCACGTCCACGTCCACGTCCATGTCCACGTCCACGTCCACGTCCACGTCCACGTCCACGTCCACGTCCACGTCCATGTCCACGTCCACGTCCACGTCCACGTCCACGTCCACGTCCACGTCCTCGTCCACGTCCACGTCCACGTCCACGTCCACGTCCACGTCCATGTCCACGTCCACGTCCACGTCCATGTCCACGTCCACGTCCACGTCCATTTCTACGTCCACGTTCACGTTCACGTCCACGTCCAGGTCCACGTCCACGTCCACGTCACGTCCACGTCCACGTCCATGTCCACGTCCACGTCCACGTCCACGTCCACGTCCATGTCCACGTCCACGTCCACGTCCATGTCCGTCCACGTCCATGTCCACGTCCATGTCCACGTCAACGTCCACGTCCACGTCCACGTCTACGTCCATGTCCATGTCCACGTCCACGTCCACGTCCATGTCCACGTCCACGTCCACGTCCATTTCTACGTCCACGTCCACGTCCACGTCCACGGCCACGTCCACGTCCACGTCCACGTCCTCGTCCACGTCCACGTCCATGTCCACGTCCACGTCCACGTCCATGTCCACGTCCACGTCCACGTCCATGTCCACGTCCACGTCCACGTCCATTTCTACGTCCACGTCCACGTCCACGTCCATGTCCACGTCCACGTCCACGTCCACGTCCACGTCTACGTCCACGTCCAGGTCCACGTCCAGGTCCACGTCCACGTCTACGTCCACGTCCACGTCCACGTCCACGTCCACGTCCATGTCCACGTCCACGTCCACGTCCACGTCCACGTCCACGTCCACGTCCACGTCCATGTCCATGTCCATGTCCACGTCCACGTCCACGTCCATGTCCACGTCCACGTCCATGTCCACGTCCACGTCCACGTCCACGTCCACGTCCACGTCCACGTCCACGTCCACGTCCACGTCCACGTCCACGTCCACGTCCACGTCGACGTCCACGTCCACGTCCACGTCCACGTCCATGTCCACGTCCACGTCCACGTCCACGTCCACGTCCACGTCCATGTCCACGTCCACGTCCATGTCCACGTCCATGTCTACGTCCACGTCCACGTCCACGTCCACGTCCACGTCCATGTCTACGTCCATGTCCACGTCCACGTCCATGTCCACGTCCACGTCCACGTCCACGTCCATGTCCACGTCCATGTCCACGTCCACGTCCACGTCGACGTCCACGTCCACGACGTCCATGTCCACGTCCACGTCCACGTCCACGTCCACGTCCATGTCCACGTCCACGTCCACAGTCCACGTCCACGTCCATGTCCACGTCCATGTCCATGTCCACGTCCAGGTCCACGTCCACGTCTACGTCCACGTCCACGTCCACGTCCACGTCCACGTCCACGTCCACGTCCACGTCCACGTCCACGTCCACGTCCACGTCTACGTCCACGTCCACGTCCACGTCCACGTCCATGTCCACGTCCACGTCCACGTCCACGTCCACGTCCACGTCCACGTCCATGTCCACGTCCACGTCCACGTCCACGTCCACGTCCACGTCCACGTCCACGTCCTCGTCCACGTCCACGTCCACGTCCACGTCCACGTCCACGTCCATGTCCACGTCCACGTCCACGTCCACGTCCATGTCCACGTCCACGTCCACGTCCATGTCCGTCCTCGTCCATGTCCACGTCCATGTCCACGTCAACGTCCACGTCCACGTCCACGTCTACGTCCATGTCCATGTCCACGTCCACGTCCACGTCCATGTCCACGTCCACGTCCACGTCCATTTCTACGTCCACGTCCACGTCCACGTCCACGGCCACGTCCACGTCCACGTCCACGTCCACGTCCACGTCCTCGTCCACGTCCACGTCCATGTCCACGTCCACGTCCACGTCCATGTCCACGTCCACGTCCACGTCCATGTCCACGTCCACGTCCACGTCCATTTCTACGTCCACGTCCACGTCCACGTCCACGTCCATGTCCACGTCCACGTCCACGTCCACGTCCATGTCCACGTCCACGTCCACGTCCACGTCTACGTCCACGTCCACGTCCATGTCCACGTCCACGTCCACGTCCATGTCCATGTCCACGTCCATGTCCATGTCCACGTCCATGTCCACGTCCATGTCCACGTCCACGTCCACGTCCACGTCCATGTCCACGTCCACGTCCACGTCCACGTCCACGTCCACGTCCACGTCCACGTCCATGTCCACGTCCACGTCCACGTCCACGTCCACGTCCACGTCCACGTCCTCGTCCACGTCCACGTCCACGTCCACGTCCACGTCCACGTCCATGTCCACGTCCACGTCCACGTCCATGTCCACGTCCACGTCCACGTCCATTTCTACGTCCACGTTCACGTTCACGTCCACGTCCAGGTCCACGTCCACGTCCACGTCACGTCCACGTCCACGTCCATGTCCACGTCCACGTCCACGTCCACGTCCACGTCCATGTCCACGTCCACGTCCACGTCCATGTCCGTCCACGTCCATGTCCACGTCCATGTCCACGTCCACGTCCACGTCCACGTCTACGTCCATGTCCATGTCCACGTCCACGTCCACGTCCATGTCCACGTCCACGTCCACGTCCATTTCTACGTCCACGTCCACGTCCACGTCCACGGCCACGTCCACGTCCACGTCCACGTCCTCGTCCACGTCCACGTCCATGTCCACGTCCACGTCCACGTCCATGTCCACGTCCACGTCCACGTCCATGTCCACGTCCACGTCCACGTCCATTTCTACGTCCACGTCCACGTCCACGTCCATGTCCACGTCCACGTCCACGTCCACGTCCACGTCTACGTCCACGTCCAGGTCCACGTCCAGGTCCACGTCCACGTCTACGTCCACGTCCACGTCCACGTCCACGTCCACGTCCATGTCCACGTCCACGTCCACGTCCACGTCCACGTCCACGTCCACGTCCACGTCCATGTCCATGTCCATGTCCACGTCCACGTCCACGTCCATGTCCACGTCCACGTCCATGTCCACGTCCACGTCCACGTCCACGTCCACGTCCACGTCCACGTCCACGTCCACGTCCACGTCCACGTCCACGTCCACGTCCACGTCGACGTCCACGTCCACGTCCACGTCCACGTCCATGTCCACGTCCACGTCCACGTCCACGTCCACGTCCACGTCCATGTCCACGTCCACGTCCATGTCCACGTCCATGTCTACGTCCACGTCCACGTCCACGTCCACGTCCACGTCCATGTCTACGTCCATGTCCACGTCCACGTCCATGTCC